CTTACACACACACACACACACACACACACACACACACACACACACACACACACATACACCACACCATAACTTCAAAATAATAAAATAAATGTACTGAAATGTTTAAAAATACAATGCTTCTTCAGTAAATTAAAAATATTTTAGAAGTTATTTTGCTTGTTTTTGTAAATTACTTTTGGATAATTTCATTATTCATGAATACTACACTTACATTGTTTCAACCTCTCCTTCCCCCCACCTCTTCCCAAGTTCTCCCAACTCCCTCTTAAGTTCATGACATTCTCTCCTATAATTATTACTGATTTGAACAAATATATACATATATATATATATATATATATATATATATATAATTTATACACACACAAAAACATTCAGCCTACTGTTCAGGGCCTATTCAGTGCTGCTTATATGTCCATGTATTTAGGCCTGGCTATTTGGAATTAGATAACATCTGAGAGGGATCATCCCTGGATAAAACTGATTGTCCCTCTCTCAGCAAATATTTATTGCCTGTATTTCTTCATCTAAGGGTAGAGTCTTGTGAAAATTCCACTATGGCATTAGCAGGTTGACTGGTGTCATATAAGTTTTGCTTAGGTAACCATATTGTTTAGATTTCATGGGTGCAACATCCCATTTACACCTGGAAGACACTGTATAGCAGCTGGACTCATGGCCCTAAACTCTTATAATCTTTCTGCTCCTCTTCTGTGATGCTGGTTTCACTTCTAACTAACTTTATTCTTCCTGTGGCATACATCTTACAAGATGAGCACTTCAGAGCTCATAAGAAATATCTTCTAGAACTTGGCTATAGATTAGGTTGTCTGTTTTGAACAAAACATTCACATGTTAAACTCAGTCTTCAATTTTGGACATGGTTTCTGAAAAAATGTTAGGGTTAAAGTAATGTATAGGGGTGGTGACTTGTTTTTATGTTTCTCATGAGAGAAGTTTAAAGGTTTTAAGAGATCAAGAATGTGTCCTCTCTCTCTCTCTTATGTTCAGAGTCAAGCAGAAAGAAATCATTCAACAGGGAAGAATTTATAGGCCTTTTTTTTTTTAAATTCTCAGCCTGCAGTATAGGCAGAAAGTAAACACCTGTTGTTTGGGCTTCTGATGCTGTAGAAGTGTATGACGCTGATGGAACATACTATGACAGATTGATTGGTGGAGATTCTGTTTTGATGGTTCTGGTACAGAACAAAAAAAATCTACAAAATATTTTACTTTGTGTGTGTGTGTGTGTATGTGTGTGTGTGTGTGTGTGTGTGTGTGTGTGTGTGTGTATTTTACTTTGTGTGTGTGTGTTGGGGAAGAGTGTGATGACTATCTGCATGGAAAGAGTGCTTTTGTCCTTGAAAACCTGTGTGGAAGCCACAGACTGATATCAGTTGTCTCCTGGCACTTGTCATCTTATTTTTGTTGCAGGGTCTCTCCTGAACCTAGAGCTCACATATTCATCTCTGGTGACTGACACAACACTGTAGGGATTGTCTTGTGTCTGTTCTCAGCACTGAGGTTATGGGCTGGGCCTCAATGCCAAGCTGTTCAGGTGTCCACTGTGGACCTGAAGTCAGGGCCTCATCCATATACATCAAGGACTTTCCCCTATCCCCAGGAAAATGTAATTTTAAGCAGAGCCTCTGCTTCACAGATTGACTGGCTCTGTTTAAGCAGACAGCATCATGAATTTTTCTTCACTAGTGGTATCCAGTTGTTAACCACCTTTCTGGATGAAATGGCCTCCAGAGAGTTTGTGCAACTCCTGACCTCCAGTGATAGACCTTAGACAGATTCTTTTCTTCTTCTGAGTCTCAGTATCTTTATCGTGAAGTGGTGGCAATATTGGGTTGTAGAGAGTGTTCCTGACACAAAAATTTATCAAATACTATTTTGGCTATTGTTCCTGTTCTGTAGCATGTCTGATTAACAACTCAAAAGCTTGACACTTCAAGGAAAACATTTCTTCACAATAAAATTGGAACATTTAGCAAAGCATTGATACACAATATCTTTCCTAAAATGATTTAATTATCTTAATATTCTATAATACTCCACAAGAAGACTGGCTTTCTGATTTCTATGACTTTTTAACAACTATTTTGATTTATGGAAATTCCATGAAAAGCCATAAAAGTCCTGTTGTAAGGAGTGTCATTCAACCATGTTTCAGTTCCAAGCTTTGCTAATATCTCATTGCTGATGTCTTCTCAAATATTTTACCAGAAGCATTCATTTTTACAATGCATTCAACTTCTTCTCATTGTGGACCAGTTTTGGTATTAACCTAGTAAAATTATTTCTTTTTAACATGGAATAGTATAAGTTGTTGCTTTTCAGTTGCTGTTATTGTTGTTATTTTAAAGTTCTTTGTTCCTCATCCAAAAAAAAACTGTACATAAGATTTGACCTTGTCTCTAGTTTGGGGCAACTAGAGTGTTCCTGGTGGTCTAGTGGACGATTTTCTAACACGACAGGAGAAACGTAGTAAGAAAGGGGTCATTGTAGCAATGACCACACGTGGAAGGAACGGGTGGACACTTAACATATCACTGTATATGTGTGTCAGAACAATTCAATACTTTTTTTTCAGCTATGATTTCTTAAAGGTAAATAGGAAAGACTTTCAGAATGGATATTCTCCGAGAAATCTTCAAAAGACAATACATGCATTTTTGTCAAACCCCAAGTCATCAGAAAACTAAGGCTACTGTAAATATTGAAATTATTGCATGTAAGTTAAAACAAATTTGTATAGTTTTTTTCTGTGCTGAGGAACATTATTGTGAGGATAAAATCTCTTTTATGCCAAAATTCTTTGGTCTATTGACATGTATTTTATATGACGTGAAGTGAAAAACTGATTGAACTTTTGACAGGTTATGTAAGCTATTGATAATATCTAGTAATGTAATATTTTTTCATGATTGATATTTTTGTAGTTGTCATACACACACATACACACATATAAATATGTATATATGTATATATAAACAAAAATCTACCAGTGGGTTTGTCCACCCAAAGCTGTAAAGTTTTCCCTCAACCATTTCTAAATATGACAAATATGTTCATTAATGTGACCAAAAGAGTAATAGTCTATTTCTAGGTTCTGCCACTGAATCTCAAATAATTAGTGTATAGCTTGCTAATTTGGAATGAAAAATACAATTTTTCTTCTTTTTGCAGTGCACTCACTAATAATATGTGATCATGTATTTAACCAGGTTTTTAAGATCATAGATTAACTGTTATTTATATGTTAATGATATTAGTAAACTCAAAAAGTTATATTAAAGGCACTTACTTAATTGTATTTTAATAGGAAGAAAATTATAGTGAAAACCAATTCTGACAGAAGTGTTTTAACAATTAGGTTTCTTGACAAATTCACTTGAAAGTATAACTTAGCTTTTCCTATATTGCATAATTATTTAAATACAAACCTCAGCAACTGACAATGCATGATGAATAATTGGGAAAAATAATGTGCAATGTGCCCTCAGCAAGAAGTTTCATAGTAGTAAAATTTGAAACTATGCAAGCCCACTTGAGTGCACATATGCACGCACACATGCATACTCACACACATATACTCACACCAGTGCAGGCACATACACTCACACACATGCACACACACCACAGGGACAAGGCAGGGAGGTCCTTAACAGAGGCAGGCACAGAATATTTGAAAGTGAAACTAGCAGCAGTTTATATTGAGTAACAGTGAAATGCAATCCATCTGATAGGTAAGGTCTGAAATGGGCCTTGATGTGTTAGCAAAGTTTTGAAGATGTTGACCAAGGTGATAGCTGAAAGTGACAGTTAATGTCAATTGTCAGCTTGACAGAATCCAGAATTACCTAGTGCTAGATGGACTTGGCCATGCCTGTGGGAGGCTATACTGACAACATTAACTGCAGTGAGAAGAGTTGCCAACTGAGAGTAACACCACTGCCTGGCTTGGATCATAGATTTGTTGTATGAAAAATGGAATGGAGGAATGGCATGTGTCCACTGATCTCTGCTTCTTGACTGTGTACAGTACTTATGAGTTCTTGAAACAGAATCCTTTGCTCAAAGGTATCATCTAGGGAGGCTGGTTGTGTACTGCCAGATGAAGTCCTTAGACTTAGCTGAATTTCCCCTCCCCATTTCTCCATCCGCTTCCACTCACTCCTTTCTTCATCATCTCTATTGCAAGCTGTAACTTGAAAGAATACATTTTGCAATACATAAACATTAGAACCCACAACAACAATTACTTTAATAACAAAAATTACAAAAGAAAGCATAGCTGAAAAGAATCATCTTGCCTGCTAGGAATGTCTCTTTGATGGGTCCTGCAGTTCAGAATTTTGCGAAAGGAAAGGGAACCGGGACCACTGATAGAGGTTTCACATATTCATAAATATTTTACTTGAGAGAAAGGGGAACTATTTAAAAAGAACAATATAGAGGTAATGTGTGATGGAATTATGGCATAAATAGTTATTTGGTACAATATTTTCAAGACCAGAATGCCATATTTGTGGTGGGTGACATAACATTTGTCAATGATATCTGGTCATGTGAGCAATTTGAACAGTTGTGCACAATTATTCATAGAGGACTTTGTATTTAATGATGATGATGATGATGATGATAATAATAATAATAATAATAAATAATGACTTGTTAATCTTGCAACCCTGAGATTGGTATGATTATTATGATTCTTATTGATCCTAAAAAAATTAATCCTCTGATGTTTGTAAAATGACTCATGAAACATGAATCTAGAAAACCCAATCAGATGGTTTTCAACTCAAAGGGAGAAGGCAGAGAAGCTTCATCCTTGTGTAAAGAGGCAACATTGTAACTGGTCAATTAGAGAGTTAAGGTTAGGACAGCACAGGTTGCCTTTGAAGATTTGAATCACCACAAACAACTGGGTAACTGACATCATTCTCACTACAAGGTTTTATTTTTCTTCATATTTTCTTCTCTTTCAGGCTGACATCATCGACGTGAGTTATGGAACTGCAGATGATTTAAAAAGGATCACAAAATTTAAAAATACAACAAATCAAATTGCACTCCTGAAATTAGGAAAATTACCACTGCTGTATAAGGTTAGTACAAAAGCTCTCATTTGGTGATAGAGTAAATGAAGTTTTCATTGCTGTTTAAGGTAGTGGCTTTTGAAGTTATATATATGGAGAGAGTGCATATGTGTGCTTGTGTGTGTGTGTGCGGCATGCATGTGCTCCGGTGTATGAGAGAGAGAATTATAAGAAGTATCATTTCCAAATTAAATAAATCAATATCTTGATAGAAAAGAAATTGATGCCTGTATTCCTTAAATGAGTAGATGCATTAACTTGGGGATTGGTGAGTCTATGAGCTCCCAGTCGAGGAGCATAGCCATATAAAGGTCCACATCTAAATGCTGACAAAGAGAACTTGGGCTACATCTTCTCGTGACATATATAAAACTTCCAATGTGTGCTCAAAATTGCCTGATTTCCACGTACATCCATCTTCTCTGATCAGAATCTAACTGACTTATACTCTTCTGTGATTAATTTTGTAAACTCTGTAACTTCACATGACTGCCTACACTTAGGACTCCAATTAAAATATAATATTCTAAGGAGATGTAGAATTTTTATTTATTTTTATCTAAATTGAAGTTTATTAACACTTATTCACTAGGTACATCTGTATAGTTAAAGCAATTCAAACTAAATACTGGATAAGGATTTAGCACAATGTATAGCCAGTGCTGCAGGTTTTTATTTCATTTTCTATTTCTGTTTAGAAAGAATGGTCATTGTGGTTATTTCACAGGAAGTCCCTTGTTCTGAAGACACGTTGAACTTTTTCTTATCCAATTTTTAAGGGTTTTTCTAATCCCCAGTGCCCAAAAAATATTTCCAAAAACTGTTGGATGATGATGGCACATTCCTTTAGTCTCAGCACTCAGGTGGCAAAATCAGGTTTATCTCTCTGAGTTTTAGACTAGCCTGGTCTACTTGGCTCACTGCATAGCTCCAGGCCAGCCAACACTTCAAAGTAAGACCCTGTTTAAAAAAAAAAGGAAAGGAAGGAAGAAAAAGAAGGAAGGAAGGAAGGAAGGAGAATTCTCTGTACATATTTTTCATTATCTTTCAAGGATTACTTAAATCAATGTTAGATCATGTATAGTTGTGACATAGTTTTAAAGATAAAAAGGACAGTGATATTATTCTGGGCTCAATAATCTTTTGAAATGCAATAAATACTTTTAAACAGTCACATATAGTTGCAGAAATCATGCTCAATCAATGTATTCTAATTGGAGAAAAAAGATAATAAATATAGTCATGGTCAAAAATAACAAAATATTAGCAGTAGTACATACATGTAATCCAATACTGAAAATGACTCCATATTTGCAGAGGTGAACCAAATGAGTATTTTTAAATGGAAGAGGAAACTAAAGTAACACAGTTGATGTGTGTGGGTCTAATGTGTTCATTGTACCAATTATGAAATTTGACTTAGGTTAACTTTAGTAATTGATGACGTCTCCATCTTTACACTTGCCTAAGTCTACATGTTATACAATTATTGTGTATTTTAAAAGAGAAAATGCCTTTAAAATTTCAAATTAAGATCTGGAGCAGTGGCTCCATGGTGAAGAGCACTTGCTGTTCTTGTAGAGGACCAGTGACCCACCTTCCTGTCAGGTGGATAGTTTGTATGGCTCGTGGATGGGTAAGTCTTTTTTGTGCCCTGGTCAGCCAATTCTCTAGAGCATATCTGTGCCTGCTTTTTTAAGTCTGAAGCTTAGAATACGGACTAACAATCTATTTGGTATGGGGTAGTTCTTTGTTACTATGAGCTTTGTCTAAGATTTGCTTTGATCAATCTTCAGAAAGTCAGAGTGCACTCAGAGGCAGTATGTGACCTGAGATCCTCATAAATTCTCAACTTGCTAAAATGAATTCCACCATGAAACAATTTTTAAATAAAATACTATAAAGCATTTTACTTCTTCTTGTGTACATTTTCACTATCTGCAGTAATAAATAAATGGTGTATACTCTATAACATGTAAAATTAAATAAGTTACAATGGACAGAGTTTCCACTATAGTCTAGGTCCTAACACAATAGCCTTCACATAAAGGAGAAAATAATATATGGAGTAAATTATAAGTGAACACATAATTAATTAACTATGTCATTTCAGCACAGTAAAACCACACTTGAAATTTACAAATCCTACTGCTATTCTTACAAATGGAAAAGTGTAGGTCATGTTTCTATCACTGTCATAGAGTGAGTTATTAAAATGTTTTATTCTCATTATATGTATTTTAAACTTAAATTGAAAATTTTAAAGATTTAAGTATCCTGATTTTTTTCAGATTCCTAAAAATGAACTCTTTTATCTATCTGATAAAACATGCTATACAATAGGAAAAATGAAAATCATAAGATCCATCATTCTATATCATGATGCCAGTACATTGCTGTATGGTTCATGATCAGTGTGTGTTGCATGAAAGACTTTCCTTTTGAGATACAAACATACAGAATACATGAGGAGTACTGCTTACAAATCACCAGCTACCTATATCTACAATAGTCAATGAAGTCTATGGTTTTCAAATCTTCAAGAAAAGTGGAAGATCATTAGGAAATATTCTAGTTAGGTATCTAAAAATCCTAACAAACACTACGTTTTGAAAATTCATTTCCATGAAGCATATGTGTACTATTTGTTATTTTTTGTATGTTTGTGAGGTCTACATTGTTGAATTTATCCTAGATATCATTTTTCTCAGAAGCCTTTGTTTAAGCCAGATGATAATTGTTCTCAAAAGCAAATGAGCTATCAACCTTCTCCAGCCCTAAGGCTCAGAGAGAAAGTAGAAGAGAGATGGAAAGAATGTAGGAGACAAAGATGAGGGGGGAGCTTCTCAAATGCTGCTTCCAACCATGAAATGGCCATGTGAACTCATGACCGCACAAGACCCAAACAGGCCACTTCATGTGTTAGAGGATCATCAAAAATGGGAGAATGTTCACTTAATTTCTCATTCTATTCCCCAAATCAAAATATGGATGTATTTACTTATTACGTAGCAAAAATAAGTGGTACATTGGACAAAGACTGGAAAGTAAATCTTATTTCATTTCCTAAGATTTTTGAAGATTTAAATTAATTCATAAAGAGTATAAGAGCCAGAGGGGTTAGAGGACACCAAGAAAACAAGGCCCTCTAAAGCAATATGAACAAAACTCATATGAACTCACAGAGATGTGAAGCAACATGTACAGGGCCTTCATGGGTCTGCAGCAGGTCCTCTGTGTATATATTATGACTTTCAGTTTAGTGTTTTATTGGATTCCTGTTGTGCCTTTTCTTGGGCTCTTTTCTTCCAGTTGGTTTGTCTTGTCCAACCAGATGTGACAGTCTTTGCTGTATTTTATTATATTTTGTTTTGTTGTACTTTAAAAAACATGAATGAATGTATGAATGAAAGAATGAATGAAAACCCAGCCACTCAGGAAAAGGTTACACCTGCTGGGAGAGGAAAATCAGTTTTCTCCAATAAAGTAGCACTGGATCCATCAGCCACTGGAGGACAGGCCTCATGTTCAGGTGAAGTAGTTGACCAACATTAAACAGACTCAACAGTTTTTCTGTGTTATTTGGTTAGAGTCTGGAGGGGTTTTTGGGGGGAGGGGTGTATTTTGTTGTTGTATCAGGTTTTTGCTTGCTTTTTTGAGAAAGAACTTAAAGGTGGGTTGGTAGGGAGAGGGAGCAGATCTGGAAGAACTTGGGAGAGGGGAAGAAAATGATCAAAATATATTTAAATTTTAAAATTGTTTAAAGAGTATAAAATATAATGATAAAAAAGAAAATTTTATGTGTACATATAATATATTTTGGTTAATCCCTCTACGGTCTTCTTTTTATCTCCCTCTGTGAACTTCTCCTCCTCACTTCCTATGCTTTTCCTAGATTCATGATGTTTGGTTTTGTTGTCTGACCCATTTAGTTTAACCATTGCCATCTGTGTGACTACTTTATTTGGACTATCCACTGGAACTTGATAAGGGCTCCTTTCCCCAAATTCAGCAGTACCCACTCTGGGCCTCTCCTCATCCATTGCTGCCTGTTTGTGGAACCATTCTTGTACAGACCTAGTGTAGGCATCTTTAGTTGTTGAGAATTCCTGATTCCTATGGCTGTATATTGTCCAGAAGATGGCATTTCACAGTATATTTCTGTATTTTCTATGTCTCTCCTTCTTTCTGCCTCCTCTCCACAATGTTCCCTTAGCCTTGGAGGAGAAGGTCTTGTTAAGTGCTGTCTAGGTATAAAAGCATATTTACAAGGTGATTTGATGCTATGCCAATTTAACTAAAAACAGAATTAAGTTCCCCATAACCTTCCTTCCCATGAGCGTTTGACTATATTTACAGTTCTGGGCATTTTGTTCCTCCTGTGAAGTGAGCTTAAAATCAATTGGTTACTTTCAAAATTTCTTGCTACTATTACACAAATATCTACATGCTGCCTGACAAATTAGTGTTGTTTGCAGAATTTACAACTGGTTAAAACCATTGATGACATTTCTTGCCCATCAACTGTCTTAGCAATTTTTTTTAATTTATTTTAATTTATTTTGCAATACAATTCAGTTCTTCATATCAGCCACGGATTCCCTTGTTCTCCCCCCTCCTGTCCCCCTCACCTTCCCCCCAACCCCCCCCATTCCCATCTCCTCCAGGGCAAAGCCTTCCCCACAGACTGAGGTCAACCTGGTAGACTCAGTCCAGGTAGGTCTAGTCCCCTCCTCCCAGGCCCAGCCAAACAATCCTGCATAGGCCCCAGGTTTCAAACAGCCAACTCATGCAATGAGCACAAGATCTGGTCCCACTGCCTGGATGCCTCCCAAACACATCAAGCCAATCAACTGTCTCACCCATTCGGAGGGCCTGATCCAGTGGGGACCCCTCAGCCATTGGTTCATAGTTCATGTGTTTCCATTCATTTGGCTATTTGTCCCTGTGCTTTATCCAACCTTGGTCTCACCAATTCTCGCTCATATAAACCCTCCTCATTCTCGCTA